ATTTTTGTTATGTCCTGATACGTAAAACCATAGAACTCAAAGAGGGTGTACTTTCTTTTTCACATGACTGTATACTGATATAGTCTATTGTTATAGAAATTAAGTCTCTGTGATACTTTAGGGTGTTTACGAGGCTCAGTATTTGCTGCAAAAGTTGTCAGCTGGAGGGTGCATATGTCAATTGTCTGCATAACAATGTGATTCAAGAACAGAGGTGATAGCTGCTGTCCTAGCTGAGAAGTCGAAGAGTGGATTAGGGACTGCATGTTTTCTATCACTTGCAAACCTGAATTTACAAGTCACAACTGCAAAGAAGGGGAAGAGAAAGCTGAAAATGAAACCCACTGATAAAGTTAACAGGAACTTTAAGTCAACCTTCTCTTTATTTTCTCTATATCAGAATAGAGCAGCTCAACTCACTCAGAAAACTACAAGATTCTGCCTACCCCCACAGCAGACAGTCATAGGCTCATTCAGGCAGCCTTAGTACTATGCTAATCCTACATGGCTGGCCAGAAGATATTTCTTGCAAGCATCACATTTTTAATGATGGCCATCCAAGGCCTCAGGTAAAGGGGCTGAGGGATATTCCTTTTAGATATTGGACTAAGCACATGGCTAAGAGCAATTGGGGACTGGGGGAGGGAACAAATTCAGCAGATCATGAGAAAGAGAGAGAGCATATACATGGTTCAAGCTGTGCATGAAAAGATATCTGGTACAAGCATGGCTAATAGTCTCTTTTCTGTTGTCTTTGTCTATAAAGCAAACAAAAATAATGACGGAAAGAACTAGTGTGCTACATGAGCCAATATGCATTCAAAGAAAGCCTGACATGGATGAATACAGGATTAATAATAAAAATGGAAGGGGAAGCTGATTTAGAAAAGTTATAGATATTATATTTGGTGGTGACTTCTCAAGTTCTCAATCCTGGGTTTTGGGGTTTTGTTTGGTGTCTTCAAATCAGTCTTTGACTCCTGGCGACTGCCTGGACTAGTCCCTGCAGTTTTCTTGGCAAGGTTTTTTGGAAGTGGTTTGCCACTGCCTACTTCCTAGGGCTGAAAGAGAAGGACTGGTCCAAGGTCAGTGCCTTTGTGGCTAAGGCTTTGTGCCTAAGGCAGGACTAGAACTCATGGTCTCCCAGTTTCTAGCCTGATGCCTTAACCACTACACCAACCTGGTTACCTGAAGCAAAATGTGCTCTACTGAACATTTCCCCAGATTCTTGCCAGACTCAGTAATGTGTATATTCACTATGTCCAAATCTTCACTCAGCCCACTGTGCTTACTTGAAGTTCACTGGAACAGATACTCCAACTTCATCCCTGCCCTATGCACTGAGGATTGTTTTATCAACTGAATAAAATGAAAAGAATATCCTTTCCTGATTCTCTATATGGGAGAAAGAAAAGGCTGGTTCTCAATGGTACACCAAATCTGGAGTACTCAGCAAGTTGAGGGCCAGGTCAGACATTTTCCCCAAGTCCTTTGCAGTTCAACAAGAACTCAGGGGGAAGTATTTAACCACACTCCCATTGTTGCTTTCATAATGTCTACAGAAATATGAATCCATCTATCATATATTTATTTTAATGGTCTTTGTGATCTCATTTGGCAGAATCTAGAAGCCAGAAGAGTCCAGCTTGGCTCATCAAAACAGGATATTTATTCCATAATTTGGCTTCTTAGTGGTGTAATCTGTAGGGGATGGCTGGCAGAGGAGTTTTTTCTGTCCTCACAAGAGCTCTGCTGGATCCCAAACTGGATCAGCTCATCAGATTTATTGTCTGTTTAAGTGAAGGTGGTTTCTTGTGGATATGAATTTGCCCAAAAATAAATTATTTGATGGTTTCCAAGAAATAACTTGGATATAGACAGTGAGATGAATGGTTGAGAAACTAGATGGTGTACAGACCAGTCTTAGAGGCTATTACTGATAGTGTTGCTGAGGATATTTAGGAAATATGCTTCTCAACTTTTTAACTATATTTGAAGAACTCATTTAAGGAATCTGAAGCTGATTCAGGCACTTATCCTTATGATTTACATAAGAATGAAAGAGTAACCATCCATGTTTGCCCCATCTTTCCATCACAGCCTCTTGGCTCTGTTCCTGTCAACTGGCAGCTTTGATCTAAAAAAAAATGTGGCTTGCACAACAGGCACAGCCCCTCTAGAGCAAATGTACACAACCTGTGGTACTTACAGGCATCCCAAACCTCTAAAAATGTAACCAACAAATTGTAGTTTTAATTTGAAAGAAGAGCAAAATAAATATACAGTGTTATCAAATCGCTGTTTTTCATTCATTTCATTGAATTGTAATTTAAAATTCAATCCAGCTTAGCTTTTTTGTTTCAACTCCGTTCACTTTTTGAAAACAACTCTCCCTCCCCTGGTTAAAGCCAAATCACTACTTAGCCTGAAAAAAGTTGGTTACCCTTGCTCTAGGTTGTAAATCAGAGACAGCCTAGAGCAGGCTGAGAGATAAGTCACAGGGGAGAACCTAGGAACCAAGAAGAGTCTGTGCTCTGCAGACATTCCACCACGCCCACCCCCAATTCACGACCATTAGGGAATATGTAGAAAGCAAGGATCTGTATGTTAATTGCTTAGGAGTACAGTAATTGATGAAATGTGTTTGATAATTATTGTCCTCAAGAAAGATTGCTTCCTGCAAATGCTCATGAATTTTAATCCCTAATCTGAGAGTGATTCATGTACTCTAAAGCAGGATCTGAACCTGGCAGAAAACATCAAAAACTACTCACTGTATTGTTCCAGAATTTAATATCTTGAATAAAGTCAACCGCAATCTTCTTCCTGTCCCAAAGTGACACCATTGTGCTAATGTAGGAAT